ATTATTGAAATAATCATCTACTGTTTTACTATTTCCTTCAGATGCCAGTCAAAATTAAAATGAGAATATCAGTGTTAGAGATTTAAATGTTAGGCATGATTGAAATAGTATCATCTGAAAGAAAGACTCTCAGACAAATCTCTCAACATTTATTGAAAAGGCAGCTGATTTTAATGACTACCCCTTAGGTTCCTCAGTTAGTCTATTTAATGCATTTTTCCCTTTTCAAAAGTGCAGTCTTACTCAGATTCCTGATGAAATGATGTCGCTTTATTGCTAAAATTTAAATCTAGTGAGAAACACAAAACAAACTTCCCTGAAATGATTATAGACTTCTTACAATCCCTACAAAAAAAGGAAATCCTTAAAAAACTTTTGACCACATCTCAGTTACCAACTTTCAAAAAAAAAAAAAAAAAACTGACAGAACTGCAGTGCAGAGATGATTATCTCTTCAGGGTTCACAATCAGGCAATGATATGAAAGAATTTTTTTCCTCTGTATCTTTGGCGCACATAATATTAGACCCTAGATTTCTCACAAGGCAGTAAACAGGGCATGCATTTCTAGTACAAGTAAATAACAGCTAAGCAACACCTTGCTCCTTGGGACAATGATGGTCGTGTTAACAGGTTTCTCCAATAATGAGACATTTAACAGACATACTGCTATTGAGTGCCATACTTTCATGTGCTCCACCATTCAGTCCAAATGAGTTTCTCCTGTGTACAACTGAGACATAGTTTTTATGCTCCATAAGCTCACTGTACTTGGACAGAGTCAAAGTGGAGTCAGTACAATGAGTAGGACTAGTGAGACTGAAGATTTTATATGTAGATCTGGTTCCACATCAAGAGAAAAAAAATTAACCAATTTCTTCTCTATTGTTTCCATGGGGTCTGTTGTGCCTGAAACATAGTAAGAACTGAGTAAGTATTTGTTGAATTGTTTTTTTTAAATGGATGTTTAATGAATTTGTTCTAGGAAACATGGGACCTAGACCTTGAATTAAGGAGAAAGTTGCCTGGAGGGGAGGGGGGTATCCATTTCATGAGGCCCTTGACAGACATAAACCTTGGGCAGAATCCAGTATAAACAGCCAAGTTATATAGAAGATAACTTATTAGAAGATATATCATTAGATATATTATTAACTTATTAGAAGATATATTATTTAGTGAAGAGAAAACTATTTATTTCTTATATAAACAGCAGGTCAAAAATGTCAAAGAAACTTTAGTTTAAAAAAACTTTAATTTTAGTTGTTTTGAAAGTATACAATATATATTTCCACAGTTGTAGTAATGCTGTAGAAACTAATACATAATCAAGCAAATCTGATAAAGCACTGAATTGAGTAGGAGTTATTTCCTATACCAAAGCCTTTACCATTGAATCCCCTCATAGGTTACCTTGTTATACTTACAGTGTAAGTCAATTTATAGAAGCATCCATAAAAACAGAAAGTAAATAAGCAATAAAAACTCTATTGCCTTTTAGCTAAGCTTTAAACTCCCATGATTTGCTATGCATAAAAGGACATTTAAGGATACCATTATGAATGCATTTTGAGGTCAAGGGAATATGAAGGAAGGTTGATAATTATTTGAGGAAGACAAAAGATGACATAAATAATATTCAAATAAAATGTAATCAGCTGATCCAGTGAAAAATTCCTTGTTAAAGAATGGCCCGAGAAAATTTTGCTTCCTCAAGAAAGAAGGAGAGGTTCTTTCTACCTTTTCTAGCTAGGGTAGCTAAGGATTGGGCCTGAGCTTCTTTTACCTCCAGGAGTAATAGTCCTTTGTTTTGAACATTATTCTACTGTTTCCTACATAAGAAGAATAGAGACTTTGAAACTTCTGTATTGAAAGTAAGTGGACTAAGCTAGAGAAATAAATCCCATGGTCCTTTCTGTAAATGGTGGATACCTGCAACCTTGTTTCATAGGTCTTAGGAAGTGGCACATCTTTTGAGGAGAAGTAACTACAGGGTGTCACTGGAGTTTGGAGAGAACAGCCCAGCCTGGCACTGAGGAAGTAAATTTTACAGCAAAAAGGTCATCTTTCAAGCAGACCACCAGGGTGGGTCAAGGTACTTTTTCAGTGTCAACCACAATGGGTTAACCAAGCAAGTCCCCTCAGCCCAATTTCTTGAACTATGTAACTTTGGAGGGCTCTGCAACTCAAGGATAGTAAGAGCACATTAAAATGATTGTCTTTGGATTTGGTAGGAAAGAAGTTGCAAGTCGGTTTTGATTATATTAAAGATCAAAATGAAAGAGAAAAAAGGAAGGAAGGAAGGAAAGAAGGAAGAAAAAGAAGGGAGGGAGGGAAGAAGAGAGAAGAGAGGAAGAGAAGACAAGCAGGGAGGAAAGAAAGAAAGAAGAATGATAAAGAAGGGGGAAGCAAGGATAGAAGAAAGAAGAAAAAGCAAAGAAGAAAAGTTTTTAGAATTTTTAAAACTAGAGAATTTTCAAACAATTTTAACTTGTTACAAATTTACCAGTAATTATTTTCTAGATGATAACATGTATTTGTTTCCACTAATAATTATCAACTATGATGCTAAGATTGCTAAACTAAGCTTCAGAGTCTTACCTATGAAAATGTGCAAAAGATGCAAAGACCTAAAGAATCAATATGTGGTAACTCTGTGTAGTGTGTTTACTGGAAAAGTAGATATAATAAAATAGCTTAGGTGGAAAGTGTCTTTGTTTTTCACTATATCAACAATGTGGCATGCAACAGATAATGTTTAATGCTATAAATTTGTGTAGCTTATGATAACTGGATAGAATATTTATTTTCAACAATATTTTGACATAGTTTGAAACTTGACACACTTTAGTGGGAATCTGAAGCAGGCACTTCAAACATTTTCCATCTGAAGAACCACCTTGCACACTTTATAAAAAATATAATTTATAAACAATTCTCAAGTATACACATAATAGTTTGTTTGCCATACATTGGCTAAATAGGAAATTAGTTCCTCTAAACCATTATTCAATACATATTTTTAATTAATTTACATTTTATCAATTGCAACCTTTCCTTATATGTGAAAGAAACTCACCATGTGTGCATGTTATTTTTCAATGTTCAGATAATGGTTATTTATGCCATGGGTTTATGGGACCCATGCAATAATTTGGCAGCTTCTATGGTCTGTGACTCATATGTTTGAATAGTATGATCACTCAGTTACCTCCAAAAGTATAAAACATTATAAATTTTGATTTTGGGTGAAGTGGCATTAATGATCCCCTTCTTATTATTCCTCTAAATAGTATCTTCTGAGCTATAAACTAGTATTCTTAATGTGATTGAAAGTAGTGAATCACTTGTCTTTAAAACCTAATTACACCAGTAACGTTTAGTGTCTGGTATGCATACAAATAAGCTCAGTTTCAATATTTTGTTTCATGGCAGCATCTGCTCAACAAGAATCTTTCCTTTTAAATATATGCTTTATTGAATACCTAAATACAGTCTTTTGAGCAGCACACCGAATATAACTCTAGATATGCATTCTAACAAAACATCCTTAGAAAGATCAGTGGAATATTATTCTTTCACTTATGAACAATCCATTATTTACAAGTTGAATAGCAACTAATTGCAATTTTTCTATCATTCTAGTTGCTTAGCTGTGACTTTTAAGTTTATAAATGTCTTTAAAGTTTTCTACATTAGAGTCTGATTGATACATTCCAGCAGAAATAAGCTTGTTTTTTATTATTCTGTAAAAACTGACAACACAATTATCTTTTGACCATATGATATATATTGAATGTCTAGACTTTTGTTTTATCTACATTTATATTGCTACCTGTACATTTATATGCATAGCTATATCAAACATTTGATTAGAAACCTGATCAAATGAGCTTAAGTAAAGGGAGTCTCTGTTACTGTGGGATTAGAATAGCCATTAGGGATATCTGTGGTAGGCATCTTTTGCTTAATCTGCTCAGCAATCTTTCCACCTCTTCCTCTGGAGATGTCCCACTTCTTCTGACTTCAAATTTGGAGTTCCAACGTCCCTGCATCATTGCAGTCTGAATATAAGATCAGATGAGGAGGCTTTCTCAAGTTGCTTGTTTTCAAGCTAGAACCAAGGGAAGAGAGATTGTCTCTGTCTGGCAACAGCACTATGAGAAGGGAGTTTTCAAAATCTGTTTCAATAATAGCAACAGTGGTTGACATTTGCTGGGTTCACACATTCTACTAAGCACTTTAAACATTTTACAACAACTTTATCATTATTCACCACATGTTAGGTGAGGAAACTAGGTTAAAGCCATTGCCCAAGTTTTAGTGAGAATAAATAACAGAGCTCTTATCTAAAGTCAGAAAGTCTGATTTTAATCTGGTAATTTTTACTCATTGCTTTCTAACAGTGGGAGTGCACCTGCCTGAGAAGGCAAGGTGCATTTGCACAAGGAGAAGCACAGATGAGGGATTAGACAAGAGTGCATGATGGCTTTTGAGTCTTTGGATCCAGTTGCTTCTGAGTTATGGCTGCTCCTCCATCCTTCCTAGAGTTTGAATGTTTGGGCATCCCTCTAATTCTGAAAGCTTCTCCCATTTTCCCAATAAGTTCCAACATTTCCTCCCTTTAGCTTATCTGAACCGAGTTGCTGAATCCCCAAGGAAAGGAAAGATACTAAAGTCAAGTCCCTCAGAACTGGGCATAGGAATGGAGAAGCCAAAATTCATTGCGGCTCTCTCTACCTCTCAAGGACAAAATGTTTCCCTGTTTCCCTCTGTCTTCTCTAGATCTTATCTTTTTTTCCATTGCTTTTCTCCACTACTCATTTTATTTTCCCTGGCTAATGCATTTCTTTGACCTTGTCAATGGATGGTTTTTGTTGTTGCTGATTTTCTACACAATGTACATTTTCTTTTTTTATTTGAAAGATGTGGGGAACGATTCAGGGTTAGGTATACAAATATTCATTATGCAGGTCCATTTTCAAGTGAATCAAGAAATAATTTTTGGAGGGTCTGATCTTATTTATTTGTTACTCAAAAAATCTTATTTTTGACTAGACTCAGACTTGGAAGTAGAAGCTTGCAGAGAGAAAAGTCTGCGTCTCTTGGCAATCTGTTCCTGGTGTTTTTCTTTGGCCTCCTTCATTCTCTTGGCGAAAAGTTTAGCATATTCTGCGGCTTCTTCCTTATTTTTCTTAGTATGCTGTTTCTTCAGAGCAATACACTGGTGTCTATGTTGCAGGACACATGGAGTGAGGAGATACTGGATCTTGGGTGCTTTGGTTTTACGTTTCTTACCTTCTTTGTTTAAGGGCTTTCTTACAACATTACTGGCAGACATCATCTTCTTTAGATAAGTTGAAGTGTTTGAGGATTCTGCTAACCCTTTTGGGCCCCAGTCAAAGAGGCATCGTAGCATAAGTCAATCCCGGAATATTCTTCTCACCTTCTGTACAATAACCAAGTTGAGAACACTTAGAGTGGAGTCCACAATGCAACCCTGAACAGACTTGTGCTTTCTCTAGTTATCTTTGGTCTGTACAGGAATGCCCCTTACTCAGCAGCTGTTAGACACGGCCAGAGGTCAAGACACCTTGCTTCATGGGGAAGCCTTGTTTATCATTCCCACCACTGATTTGGGCCACGTAACCCTTCCACTCTTCAGCCAGAGTGTCCGCAGCAACTTCTGTGGCCATATGCTTCTCATAGAAGGTACAGAGCTTGCGTTCATCTTTCTCTTCGATGAGTTTCTGGCAGCCAATGTCTGGGAAAAAGATACTCAGCTTCATCTTGAAGCAGCTTCATCTCCCAGGCTTCACAAAAAAGAGCAAGAAATAATTTATATACATGAATAGGTCCTTGTTATAACTGGGTAGCCAGTAACTTCAGCTAATGAAGATCTTCTTAGAGGGAAAGAGAATCTAGGACTGGGGTAGATGAAAAAGATATTGATAAGAGTATACCTACAGAAGGAGTGGGGAGAAGGGGAGTGTTTTTTAGATACATACTGATCTAATCATCAAGTGAAGAACTGAAAAACATCAGCAATGGTACAAATTGGTGGGGAGGGTCCTCTCAACACTGGCAATATTGCACACTTTGTTTATTTAGAAATTCTTTCTAAATGTCTCAGATGTTTGTGTTTTGAAAGTTTGAACCTCTTAAACAGAAAGCCTGAAAAAAGCTTGCTGGAGTCATGAGAATTGGATTTCAGTCAGACTATCTCTATGTCTCATGTTCATTATTTGTATAATAATTATGCTACCTCCTGGTCTGTACATTTTATAGAATTGCTGTGGGATATAAAAGTATTATAAGTGATGCAAATATGTTAGAAAACTTAGAGGTATAGGTAAACATGTTAGGTGTGAGTCTTAACCTGTACTTTTTCTAGAATAAGCAATGAATATGTTCTATGTCTTTAAGAAGTCATGATTTCAGCAGTTTTTGAACTTGACTGAGAGGAAAGAACATTCAGTCACTTAAATAACAGATTCATCATGACATCTTAGAAGCATTTCATTATATTATAGATAGAATAGAGATCATGAGATCAATCACTGCTACTATGATTATTTCTGTTTTCCCATTTTTATCCACCTTTCTATGTGTAGTTCAGGAACTATGTCCCAAGACTCTCTCCAGCCAAGTCCCAAGACTCTCTCATTTCTTTAAACTTCTATCCCTTTGTCCACATTGCATAACTTTACTCTTATAAAAGAATATATGCTCTTTTGGGACAGGAGCCACGATTTGCTGAGCACCATTTTGAGTACTCAATAAGCACTAAAAATTTTACTTCTTAATCATTTTTTAAATCACTCAATTGATGAGTTTTTTGAACCAAAATGTCCTGCAACTATATCCATTCTTATATCAACTACTAGCCATTTTGCTTCCCATTTATGACATATGAAGTAAATATAATTTGTTAATTACAACTAGCACCAATATATTGTTGACTTTCATGAACTACAACTGCAAATTGCTCATTGCAAGTTATACAGTATGTTTATTTCTAGGGTCTATCACCATGCTGGTACTTAAAAGGATCAGAAAAGTTCCAAAACTGGTAGAATAAAGGGTGGCCTGGGCTTGATGCATCAGCAAACAAACATACAAACAAATTAGGGGGAGAAAAATTGAGTATTAGGAACTGAATAAATAGAAAAAAATAATCAGGTCAGTCAGAGGACTGGTACTTTTGCCTGAGTTATGTAGAGCACCTGGTGACAAATGAACATGGAAAGAATGCATTTTTAGTGGGAATGTTTTATACCACTTGTGCTTATTGGTTCATTCACTCATTACATATTTATTTGGTGCCTACTGTGTGTCAACTACTATAGTGGCCTCTGGAGATAGAAACTTAGCTTCTTTTTCTTTGTATAAACAATGTGACAAGTACTATAATGGAATAAGGAGAAGAATGTAATAAAAATGCCTTAGTAGTATATGTGTGTCTGTGTACATGCAAAA